GTGTACGAGCGCAAAATTTCACATGCACTATTTTCACCGGTCGCTTAGCTGGAGGAGGGCGAGTGACTGTCGCCTCACCGCACAGGCTCCATAGGAAATGAAYGGAGAGCGAGCGACGTCGCCTCCCGTGTGTCGAGCCCATAAGAAACAGTGGGTCCTCACCAGGCTGTGTAGAGATGCTGCTCTTTAATATTGTTTATTTACTGTTTTCAGTTGTGTGGTGTTTAATTTACATTTTGTTGTTTTTTGTTTTTTTTATTCAAGTACATTTTTTTGTCAGAGACTGAGAGTTCATTTTGTTAAACATTCTTTAAAAATCACCGTTTATTGATCTTTGAGAGGATGTACTTACATTATTACACTTTTATCATTATAGTAGTTTTAAAATGGCCACCAGACAGTATTATTGTTTATCTCAGTAATTTCTGAGACAATGAACCGTCCAGATAAATGTGTAATCCTGACAGGTCTATGCCTCGGACCTGTCCTCCCACCTGGAGGACCTGGACGTCCTGGGTCTGGACGCCCAGCGGCGTCACGGCAGCAGCGGCTCCAACGTGTCCATGGACTGCGGCGAGCAGGACTGGGCGGACGACGACGACGAGGATGAAGACCACCCGATGAGGTGCGGGCGGAGCAGCAAGACGGACTCCTGCTCCTCCAGCTGCTCCGCCCAGCTGTGCTCCTGCTGCGCCCTGTCACAGAGCTTCCCCCAGCAGGGCTGCGGCAGCGACTCGTCCTGCAACAGCTCCGAAGGCGTCCTCGTCAACTTCAGCGCCATTTTCAACAAGATGAACAACGGCGTCCCGGAGAAGCCCCGGGCGGCCGGCTCCTCGGACCACTCCTGCGCCTCCTCCGTCTCCGACCTCCTGGGAAACCAGCAGGGCTCCACCGGGGGGGCCTTCTACCTGGACCTGCACACCTCCCCCACCGAGCCCCGCCCCCCGCAGCAGCCCAGCCTCTCCAGCACCTTCCCTCTGATCCGCAAGCCCCGCCTGTCCACCTCCTCCACCTGCTCCTGCTCCGCGGAGCACCGGGGGCCCCTGGACCTCGACGCCAACTGCAACGCCTTCCTCCCCGCGTACGGCGGCTCCTCCGGCGACCTCACTTCCTGCCTGCAGAGTCAGGCGCGCCTGGTGGTCGCCACCCAGAACTACTACAAGCTGGTGACCTGCGACCTGTCGTCCCAGTCGTCCCCGAGTCCCGCTGGCTCCTCGGTCCACAGCTGCTCCGAGGACAACAGCAAGGGCAGCCCCACGCCGCCGCCACAGCCCAGCGAGTACTTCCTGTTCAGGCAGCGCGCTGACGAGGAGGAGGAGGAGGAGTCCCCTCAGGTAACTAACACAGCTCAGGTGAAAATGCAGGTTAGGTGCTGAAAGATTTTAGCTGATAGCTGCTGAAGAAGCTGAAAATGTTTCAAAAGAAAATGCTTCAGAAGTTCAGTTTGAACGGCTGATTTAGCTGAAAGCAGGAAAAAAAGTGAAAATTCAGTAGAAAATGACAAAAAATGTGTCACAGCGGCTGCGCTGAGCTGCAGTTTAGCTAAAATCAGCAGAAAATAGTAAATATTAGCTAAAAACAGTAACTTTAAAAGCAGAAAAATGTTGATACTAACAGAAAGAATAAACATTAATTAGAATTTACAAGAAGCAAAAACCATGAAAAGTATCTAAATCATGCTAAGAAAAAGGGCTAAAAGTAGCTAAAATGAGCAAAGATAAGCTAAAAGTAGCAGAAGTTGAAATTAGCAAACAGAAGATGATTGGGAGAAAAAAAAAAGATTACCAAAACGTTACAATTTGTTGTAAAATAGCTAAATTGAAAGTTTTCATTCATTTCAACATAATATTCATTTATTTACTGTATTAGGTATTTGTACATAGTTATATATCACGAGTATAGTGTTTTTTGTTTTTCTTTTACTTATTTTTCTTTATTCTATCTCAGCCTGTCCTGTTTTCAGCTGCTGTAATGTGCAAATTTCCCCACTGTGGGATCAATAAAGTTTTATCTTATCTTATTTAAATATTTTTAAATAACACCAAAATTGAAGAACGGTTTTGTCCCGAAAAACATACAGGTCTGATATTTTCATCTTTTATTTTGATTCTACTTTTTGCTTTTTTTACTTTTATATATTTCAGCTTCCTCAGCTTCTGTTTGGCTGATTTTAGCTGCTTTTCTATTTTCAACTTTGTGTGCTTCCTTCAGCTGCTTTCTCTTAAATTTAGCTGTTTTCTGTGTTTTTAGCTACCTTTAGCTAATTGGAGCTTATTTCAGCTAAATTCACCTTTTTGTGATCATTTTATATTCTTAGTTTTCAAATAAGCAAACATGATTTTCCTGTTTCTTTGCTAATTTCAGCTTCCTTTGGCTTGTATTTGGTTGATTTTAGCTTTTTTCTGGTTTTTTAGCTATCATTGTGACCTTTTCTGCTATTCTTCATGCTAATTTTAACTTTGTTACTTTCAGCTACTCTGCTAATTTCAGTTCTCCAGTTTTAGCTACTTTTAAGTTAATAAGATTTTTTAAACAAAATTCAAATTTTTGTGAAAATTTCATCTTCTTGCTGCTTCATTTGGCTTTTTTTGTTTCTTCTAATTTCAGCTAATTTTGAAAGCTATTTAATGCTAATTTTAGCTTGTTTTAGGTCTTCAGCAAAAAATCTTTCAGCATTCGCACTGCACTTTTGCAATTATTTCAGCTCTTATTTCAGCAATTTCCTGTGAAAATGCAGTGTGATTGCTTAACGCTGAAAGATTGTAGCCGACAGGTGCTGAAGTCAAGTCAAGTAAAAGTAGCTTAAATTAGCAAAAAGAAGCCAAAAGACAAACAAGAGTACAAAAAAGTTGCAAATTATTGTAAATTAGCTAAAACAGCTGAAATTGACTGATAAAGCTAAAGTGGCTGAAAAAGCTGGAACTAGTAAAAAGATGTAGAGTAATCACATTTGCTGAATGAGCAGTGAGAAGCTGAAATAAAGCTAAAATTAGCTGAAAATAGCTAAAAATTAGCTAAAACAGTGGAAAACAGCTGGAATTACAAGAAAGAAAACAGCTGAAAAAGCACAAAAATGAATAAAATATCTGGAGGAGGCTAAAAGAAGCATTAAAGAGCTGAAATAAGATGAAAAATAGCTAAAAGGAGCAAAACAAAATCTGAAAAAGCAGATTAAACTTTAGCTGCTTCCTAAACAGCTAAATTTACCTGCTTCATAAACAGCTGAACTTTACCTGTTTCCTAAACAACTGAACTTTAGCTGCTTCATAAACAGCTGAACTTTACCTGTTTCCTAAACAACTAAACTTTACCTGCTTCATAAACAGCTGAACTTTACCTGTTTCCTAAACAGCTGAACTTTAGCTGCTTCATTAACAGCTGAACTTTAGCTGCTTCATAAAAAGCTGAACTTTACTTGCTTCATAAACAGCTGAACTTTACCTGCTTCATAAACAGCTGAACTTTACCTGTTTCCTAAACAACTGAACTTTAGCTGCTTCATTAACAGCTGAACTTTACCTGCTTCATAAACAGCTGAACTTTACCTGCTTTGTAAACAGCTGAACTTTACCTGCTTCATAAACAGCTGAACTTTACCTGCTTCATAAACAGCTGAACTTTACCTGTTTCCTAAACAGCTGAACTTTTTCTGCTTCATAAACAGCTGAACTTGTTTTTTTTTCCACTTGGTTCAGCGAGATGATGAGGATAAGGACAAAGAGAAGAGGAGGAGTCAGAAGGAGGAGCCAGCTGGCTCCGCCCCTGCGTCCACCATCATGGAAGGTCAGGTGTACGTCAACGTTTCTCCTCCCCTGGCGGGGCGCAGCGTCGTCGGAGGCCCCGCCCCCTCCGGGAACCGCCTCCGTTCTCGCAGCTACGACCGCAACCTGGACAAGTGTCCGTCCACGCGCCTCGGCTCTCTGGAGGGCATGATGAGCTGCCCCGTCCGGCTGAGCGAGGGCGCCGCCCAGGCCACGCCCCCTGCTCCTCCTCCTCCTCCGCCTCCTCCCCGCGTCACCTCCTTCGCGGAGATCGCCCGGAGCAAACGCAGAAACGGAGGCTCGCCGTCGACGAAGGTGGCGGCTGGGGATGCGTTCTCCTCCACGCACTCCCACTCCTCCGTGGACTTCTCTCCCATCCTGGAGCAGCGGGTGGAAGCGGTCAGCCCGGTGGGCTCACCTGTCCCCTTTACCAGGTGTTACAGCCACGGCAGCATGGAGCGCCACCTGGAGGGCAAGGCCAGGGCTGAAGGTACGACACCTGAGATTTATCAAATAATCACTGAGCAGCTCCGACACACAAACAAATGTATGTTGTGTGTCTGTGTCTGTGTGTGTGTGAGACCCCGGTTCCAGAGTGTGGATTAAGTTCTAGTTCAGGTTAGGGTTAACTATAGACCAATAATGGTTAATTTTACTAGTTAGGTTTAGAGGTTTAAGTTTTTCATTTCCTGAGTCGTTTGTGACTTTTTGAGCCTTTTTTCTTTTTATAAACCTTTCTGACTTGAAGGTTTTTATTTCCTCTTGTCTCGCTCAGTGAATCTAATGGCAAAACAGACATTTTAAAGGCCTCAGATTTATTTAATTCACCGTTTCCTGACGCCCTGAGATGATTTCTGTTCATAACGAGCTGCAGAGCTTCATCTCGGTCAAACACACCTCTTCATCTTCATCATTTATAATTCATCAGACCTCAGTGTTTCACAGCAGCTTCATTTTGAAGCTTCAGTCAAACGGTTCAGTCGTGAGGCGAAGGAGAGGCTCAGAGCTGTGACAGGAAAAGCTTTCTGCTGTTTGATGAAGGCGAGAGAGGAGAGCTGACCTGAGAGAGGAAACCTTCAGGGGCTCAGTGCTGCCCCCTGTGGCTGAGCAGTGTCACTGCAGCCCCATCTGATGGTGGGCCGGCCCACAAGTGACAAACAGCTTGCGCAACAACTCTGACGTCTCTCTCTCGCTCTCTCTCTCTCTCACACACACACACACACACACACACTGCTGTTTGTCATGCTGCACACTGACGGATCCAGCAACACAAAAACAGCAGAAAAAAGGCCTCCTTGTTGGTTTCTCTCCTGGCGCAGTGCTTTCAGGTTTACAGTGCGTGTGTGTGTGTGTGTGTGTGTGTGTGTGTGTGTGTGAGTGTGTGTGATAAGAGCTTTGTGACTGAGCAGTTTTCTCTGTTGCCGTCAACCTTTTATGTTTGTGTTTTGCTGAAACATTTGTAAAATAATTCTTGATTTATGTTGATATTTTCGCAGAAAACCTTTTGTTTCTCGGTTTTATTAACCAGCCGAGTTTCTTACAGAGCTTATAAATCTCATAAAGGTAAATGATTTATAACAGTTATGGACGGGGAGAAAAATGAAACCACCAAACGTCGGTTGGAAGACTTTTATTTACCATTTCTAAAAGTTATTTTATGTCCTAGATTTATACTAACTGCTATTTAAATAATAATGTAGTTTAGATTAATTCTTCCAAACATTTAGAAGCGGAGATGATGAAGATCAGCTCCTCAGCTCTTTATTTGGATCATTTGTACTTTTTAAATGTTTGTGTTAAAGGATTTTAGCTCAATGAAATAGTTTTAAAGTTCATTCCTTCAAAATAAAATGATCCAAAGTGGGAGAAATACTTTCTTTTATTTTCCTAACCTGTTTATTTTCCCTCTCTCGTCTGGTCCAGGTGGTCTCTCCGGTTCTTCGGACCTTCAGCCAGCTGTGGTCCGCTACAGCAAAGACCAGCGGCCCACCACCCTTCCCATCCAGCCCTTCACCTTCCACCACCAGTTCGCCTCCAAGCCCGCGCAGCCGAAGCCTCTGCTGCCCCTCCTCACGGGCTACGTGTCTGGGATGCAGGCTCGCTCCGGCTCCGGTTCTGGTTCTGGAGCTGCTGCCGGCGAGGACGGTGAGGATGCAGCCGAGAACGAGCGGGGCTCCGGCGGCGTCACGGCTCCTCCGTTAGAGTCCGTCCGGCCCTCACCTCTGGGGAGCTACTCCCCGGTTCGCCTGCAGGGGGCGCCCAGCTCCGGGACCTGCTCCACCTGCACCCCCAGCCCCCGGCCCACACACAGCCCCTCCTGTCCCCTCTCAGCGGGGCCCGGCTCGCTGCAGACCCCTCCCGCGGTAAAACACGGAGGAGGGTCGGCAGCGTTACCCCCGACTCCTCCTCCTCCTCTGTCTCTGGGCGTGAAGAGAGGGGTGGCCCCACCCACTCTGCCGGCGGCCCAGGGGCCGTGTTTCCACCGTGGACCGCTTCACGGGGACTCTCTGAGCCCGCTGGGCTGTTTGGACTCTGGGAAACACACGGACCAAAGCAAAGGTCCTGGAACCAGAACTCACAGTGGTACGTTCTCAAAGCCACGCCCACTTTGGACAAAAAAACACAACCAATCAGAAACAGTAAAAACCTTTATTAATGATATTTAATATGGTTTTACCACAGTATCTATGGTTTATGGTGGAATATGAGGGTTTTTAAAAGATTTAAAGGTTTTGTAGCTAACGCTCCCTCCTCCACGTGAACCTAAATATTCTCTTTAAAACTGACAGAAAAACAGTTCTTATCTCAACTAGAGCCTCAAAACTCTTCTTGTAACAAACTCCAGATTATTTATCAATTTGACTCACTTTATTTCCCACTTTCCTTCTTCCTGCTTGTTTTTCTGTGTTGCTGAACTTTGCTGAGTCATTTATAGATGGATGTATTTGCTGTAAAAAGCTGATGTTTATTGTAGTTGTATCTTAGTGGGTTCCAGTGGTGGGCACGGCTCCACTAATAGCTGAACTAGCTTCTCATTTAGCAGATTAGTTTTTTTTTTTTTTTGCTAACTTTGGGAACTGTTAACGGGGCGATTAGCTTCCACTAAATTAGGTTCAGCTAATTTTAGGTCGGCTAAAAAAATTCACAGGTTTTACGCAGTTTATCACAAATTAGGTAAAAACTGTTCTTTCTTATGAGCAGAGCTGAACATGCTAGGCCTCGTGTGTAGCATGTAGCATCTTTAGCAGCTAAAGATGCATCAAAAAAACATTTAACAATATTTAAATAACAAATACGTATAAAATATGGTAGAGAAAGAATTTGCTATTTATTGTGTGACTAAATTTAAACCATATTTATAATAATACAAACTCAAAGAAATGCTTTTATTCTGAAAGGGTTAGACTGAATGTATTACAGAGTAGGTAGAGCTAAAACTCTGGTTTGGATTGTCCCACCTTCAAATTAAACTAATAAAAAACTAACAACAGGTTTGTGTCAGTCTCGCCAGTCGTCTTAGCAGCTAGCGTTAGCTTCTGTTAATTTTCATTTTGAGTTTTTTCATGTTTGACGGTTAGCATTACATCTGCTAATTTTATTTGTTTTTTTACATGTTTAGCGGTTAGCTTTGGCTAATCTAAATTTTTATATTTTTACATGTTTATTGGTTAGCGTTACATCCGCTAATTTTATTAATTTTTTTACTTGTTTAATGTTAGCTTCTACTAATTTGTATTTTTATAGTCTTACATGATTAGCAGTCAGCGTTAGCTTACATGATTTTTTTACATGTTTAGCGGTTAAAGTTATCTTCCACTAATTTTTTTTATGTTTAAAGTTAGCTTAGGCTAATCTAAATTTTTATATTTTTACATGTTTATCAGTTAGCGTTACATCTGCTAATTTTATAAAAAAATTTTACTTGTTTAATGTTAGCTTCTGTTAATTTGTATTTTTATACTCTAACATGATTAGCAGTTAGCGTTAGCTTCTGCTAATTATTTTTTACATGTTTATTGGTTAGCGTTACATCTGCTAATTTTATTAATTTTTTTACTTGTTTAATGTTAGCTTCTGCTAATTTGTATTTTTATACTCTTACATGATTAACAGTCAGCGTTAACTTACACAATTTTTTTACATGTTTAACGGTTAGCTTTGGCTAATCTAAATTTTTATATTTTTACATACTTAGCGGTTAGCATTACATTTGCTAATTTTATTTATTTATTTAATTGTTTAACGTTAGCTTCGGCTAATTTAAATGTTTATATTTTACGTGTTTAGCGGTTAGCGTTATCTTTTTTTCTAATTTAAAAAGAAAATACAGTTTATCTTTAGGTAGTATCTTGTTTAGCATGTTAGCGGTTAGTGAAGCTAACTCTTTGGTTAGCTGTTCCACCACCGGTGGGTTCTGTTTGTGACGTTCTCCGGCGTGCTCTTACTTTTCTCCTTCTCTCTCTTCCTCCCTCCATCCATGCATGAACTCACATCTTCTCCTGTCCTTCCTCCTCTTCTCTCTCTTCATCCTGCTCAAACATCCTCTGACCTTTGACCCTGACACCACCCTTCCCACCGACAGCCCACCACCTCTCCCCCCAGGCTCTCAAATGGAGAGAGTACCGCCGTCGAAACCCCCTGGGAGTGGAGCGGCTCTCCGGGGGCCACTCTTCCACCCGATCGGGACCCCTCGCCTCGAACGTGGACCTCAGAAGGACCGGGGGATCCCGACCCGCCCGTCGCAACGTGTTCGATTTCCCCACAGCTCAGCCGGGCCATGTGCTGGGCTGGACCAACGGTGCTCCAGATTCTGTCCAAAACTAGAGAGACTAGGGAGCACTGAGAGCTGAAGTTAGCAAGACAGTAGCTAAAAGCTAAAAGTAGCATGAGAAGAATGTTTTCGAAGGACCTGAAGAGAGAAAATTTGTTTTAAAAAATACAAACAAAAATGTTTTTAAACATAAATAAGTTTGCAGAAATAGAATAAATGACCAAAAGAAACTAAGAGAAATGCTGACTCAGCATTTATATAATTATACATTTAAAGTGTCTGTGACACGCATACAGTATTCTTCAAATACAAAAAGTCAAAGAAAACATTTATATTTAAGAAAGTTGTAATACACAGGATTTAACTCATTTTGTCCCATAACTGGCATATTTTGTTTTGAACTTGGCTCAGCCAAAGTGAAACAGGAAGTGACATCAAAGGGGAACTTTTTAAGTAAGAAAACTCTCTGGTCTTTGTTTATTAAAACAATATTATTTAAACTCTTCTTCATCTCTCTGATAGTGACTCAAATAATCTAAAGAAACATCAGATTCTTCTCTACAGTCTGTGTTGTTAGCTGTAGCACTGCTCTGTTTACATGCAAACATTACCCTCTGACATCACTTCCTGTTACTTCACAGGCAAATATCTCAACAACTGTTCATCTCAGCGACACGAAATTTCTTTTGCAATATTTTATCAATGTCCTCTTTCTAAAGAATGCATTCATATGTATAAGAAAAAAGTGACATCACAGGCACTTTAAGTGTTTTTAGGGCCCTCAGTGTTCAAAAATCTCTGTCTTCAGATGTTTTTTGTGAGATGCTGAGTTCTGTTGTTAATTATCTTCATGTTTTCGTATTTTTCAGCCGATCATTGTTCGAAGCTGCAGCAGAGCTACAGCGACTTCCTGCCGGATTACTTCTCCCTGACAGAGAAACCGCCTGAGGAGTTCTGCCTCTCGCCCGATGCCTCCTCCTCCTCCTCTTCCTCCTGCTCTTCGTCTCAGTCGCACATCTCCGTGGACCTGACGCAGAAAAGAGGTGTGTGAACGTAAAACCTGTAAATGTTGGGATATTTCAGTCCTGTACTCTAAAAAAAACTGACTATAGTATCGAACAGTGCTTTAGGTTCAATACACACTTGTATGGAACAATACAGATTTATAAAATTTATTTTATCAACTTGTCTTCTGAAGATGCTCTGTGTTGAAGGATCAGTGGATCTGTGTTCGACTACTCCACCTAGGCTGCATTTTTGAGCGCAGATCCACTGAGAAACTTGCTGTTTCAGCAACATTTAATTTAAAAACTGTACTTTTGAGGTTAAACAAATGTTCATAATTAATTTAAATAAATTACAAGTTAAAAGGGGCATGGACATTTCTCTTTTTGTATCGAAAAAATATCGAACCGTGAGACTAAAGTATCAAACCGAACCGAATCATGAATTTTCTGTATCGTTGCACCCCTAATATATATATGATTTGAGTCTAAATGTACAGCCGTTTTATGTGAGAAACGTTTTGTTTTGTTCGTTTAATCAGGTCTGGTGAAAGCCGTGAACAGAGCAGTGGATCTGATCGTGACCCACTTTGGAACCAGCAGAGACCCGGATGTGAAGGTTGGTGATTCTGGTTCTGGTCCTATGAACTGTCTGGTCAGTCGGAGACAGAACCATGAAAGAGGAGCAGATCAAGCTTTAAAACTGAGGATGAAAACGAGTTCTGCCTCCCACCAGGCTAAACTGGGGAACAGCTGGGTCAGTCCCAACGTGGGACACCTGATCCTGAAGTACCTGTGTCCGGCGCTGCGGGACGTGCTGCAGGACGGCCTGAAGGCCCACACGCTGGACCTGATCATCGGGCAGCGCCGCTGTCAGCCCTGGAACGTGGTGGAGGCGTCCACGCAGCTGGGTGAGACACATGGTGTTAGAGGACAAAGACCCAAAGACACCAGCTGCTCACAAAGTGTGGAACTAAACTGGGATGTAAAAAGTTTTTTAAAATATATGTTGGAACTGAAATAAAACTGACCGGAAACTGAAAAATGAAAAAAATTCTAAACTTCTTGGATCATATCATTAAAGCTGTATAGTGTGGCAGGTATCTTATAATTACCAAGTATAGCAGGCCATTGTGTCATAATTAAAACATATGGCAAGTTGTGTCATTTAATTAACAAGTATGGCAAGCCATTGTATTTTATTACAGAAATGTGGCAGCTCGCAGTATCATATAATGCTTATAAACACGGCAGGCTGCTTTATCACAAAATTAACCAAATATGGCAAGCCTGGTATCATATAAATAAAATATGGCATGCTATTGTATATAGTATATAATAAGTAGTGAGTATTGTAGGCCATTTTCATTCTGTAAAATAAACAGGTCGTGTCACATAAAGAATATATGGCAGGCTGTTTTATTATTTTTGAACAAGTATGGCTAGCTGCTGTATTTTATAATAAAAATATAGGAGGTTGTAATATCATATAATATAAGTATGATAGGCTGTTGCATCACAGAATTAAATTATGGCAGGCCAGTGTATCATAATTAGTGTGTATGGCAGGCCATTATCATACAATTAACATGGTATGGTAGGTCCTTGCATCATATAATGAATATATGTCAGGCCACTGTATCATTTTATTAATGAGTATGGCAGGCCGTTGAAAAATATAGTTTAAAATTATAGCAGGTCGTATCATATATTAAAAAATATGGCAAGCTGTTGTATCATATAAGCAAAAAAATATTTTTTTGTTTAAAATTATTATTTTTTTTTGTTTCAAATTTATTTTTTGTTTCACATCATTTGTTTTCTTTCCTTTGAACAAATTTATGGCACAATTTAGTTCCATAGGGAGATCTTCTGCTGTGAATGTTTGGAGCCTTCAGACGGTTTGTCCAAATTATTTAAAAAGAATCTTTACGAAGATGAGCCGAAGCTCTGAGCTTCAAGCAGAAATCTTTCTTGATGACTAAAACGTTTTTTAAAGATAGTCTCGTCTCGTCTGAGAGGAGAAAAGACCTGAACGTGTTCTTGTCCCCCCATCAGGCCCGTCCACTCGTGTCCTCCACAGCTTGTTCTCCAAGGTGAGCCAGTTCTCAGAGCTGACGAGCCACAGCATGAGGCTGAACTCCTTCATCTTCGGCCTCCTCAAGTGAGTCGCTTTCTTCATCGTTCCACAACGATCACTGACAACACATCAAACATTTAGATTTAGTTTTAATCAGAGTTTTAAAGTAACTAAGTACAAATACTTTGTTACTGTACTTAAGTAGAATTTTTGGGTATCTGTACTTTACTTGAGTAATTATTTTTCAGCCTACTTTTTACTTCTACTCCTTACATTTTTAAAAAAGACAAGAAGTAGAAAGTTGTTACTTTCATTTCATTTTTGCTTGTTTTCATTCCAGCTTGTTGTTGTAAAAAATAAAAACTATCCAT